ATTGCAGGTATGAAGAATATAGCATTCATTAAAGATCCCGATGGCTACTGGATTGAAATATTTGACACCAAAACAGTAGGAAAGGCTGTCGCTCAAGCTGCTTGATCGTATGCTGCAAGTATTCTGGTATTATCTCTTTTAGTTTGACAGTTTTGAGTTATTTTGATCCTTAAATTTGGGTTGTTTCCTCGTCTTTATGTTAAATATTCGATTGGCTCATCTTCATTTTAGCAGAGTATGTATTGCCCTTTTCTGCATCATCCCACTTCGTAGTCGATTTTACACCAACCACTATATCATACCAAGTCCAGTTTTTCCACCCCGGGACACTTGCAGGGTCCAGTTTAAGCCAGTCAACACTCGAAAAAAAATTCAGTTCCAAATTTTGTCATGTCCAGACTAGACATAATTAATTGAAACAAACTTTATCAATTTAAACTTCATGTCTCAACCACAAACTTGTTTGAGGTGAATCTTGTAACCTAATGGCATGAAAATATACTGCTAGTTTACTATATATAGCTCATATCTTCTCTCTCCTGTACGTGAGAAATGAGATAAAACATAGTATCTACTTGGTTTTCCCTTTTATATGACTACGTGGGCAGGGGGCTATCTAGAGCTTCTGGCATTTTATTGTTAGATCCCTTTTTTTTTTACAGAAAATGAAGCATATTTGGGTAGACACGATGAGTTCGTAAGGCTGGTCGTTATCATTTTTCACCTCATATTTACCCTTTTTTGTGTTTTGAGCGTGGTTCTTAACTTTTATGCTCAGTTTAATGGGATGAATTACTATCTTAATCTGCAACTGGAACTTTTTTTCTTTTTTCTTTCGGCTGCAGGATTTTATGCAATTCCAGTTATTTAAGAAAAAGGAGTAGATATAGAGTATGTCAAAATTCTTGAACTCCTTAAAATTTTGCATACTGAAGTAGATGTCATTTGGTGGTGGCTGATACTTTTTGAGTATTTGATATGTAATAAAATTATTTATTTCTTATATATGTAATCATTGACCAACAGCTTTGCTAATGCAACTTGTATCATTACTCGTATTCAAATGTGAATCTTTAGTATAAAAGCCTTGACAATCTTCCGAAGTTCTACTGCGTGAGGCTGTTGAAAAAAGAGTGACTCATATGCAAAGTCTTGTAAGGCTTTGCAAAATCGAGATTAAGTAATACTGACTAATGAATGATAAAATCTTAGGACGACTTTTATCCCAGAAATCCCTTATGCAGGAGAAAGTTTGTCATATTTTGATTAACAAACAACAGAATATATGTTTTTACAACATGTGAATTTTCATTCCCTAGTTCAGTTGTTCTAGAACAAACAAATGTCTAAAAGAGCACTGTTTTTGACGTGAAATAAAGAATTTAAGCAAAAACTTCAAGGAAATAATTTTTGGAATACGCCAAATTGAGAAGAAATAAACTCACTAGATTTTACATGAAAACTTAGTTTAACTAAATTAAAATTGCAAAAAAATAAAAATAAATTAAATGACAAAAATAGCACTAAAATTTTAAAAGCAGTTTTCGACTCCTAAACAAACTCGAATAGCCAAAATCCATCATATGTAACGGCAAAGTGGTTAATTTTACTCGTTTCGCCGTTCTCTTTTCGAAATGGTATTATGGGTCTAAATCGGAACTCGGACGCCACACCTACACTATTACCTTTTTCCCTTTTCAA